TGTTTATTGGTCTGGCCTCAGAGCTGATTGAAAGGAGACAGAAGAGCACATGGGGGGTGGGGTGGGAGGAGGGGGCAGTGTGGTGCAGTGAGAAGAACCCTTTTTAATCTAAGCTGTCACTTACTCAGGTGATATTGGATGGGCCACTTCACCTCTACATCTCAGTTTCTTTATCAGTGTGATGGGAGAAATAGATCTGCCTCCCTGGGCTGTTGTAAGGGTTAGAAATTAGGCCAAGTGCCTGGCACATAGTAGGTACAGCTAGCATTACAGATGATACATTAGAGCTAAAAAGGATGCCTAAGGTCCATCAACCGGTGAGTGGATAAATAAAATGTACCCATACAATGGAATATTATTTGGCAATAAAAAATGAAGTACTACAACATGGATAAACCTTGAAAACATGATGCTAAGTCAAAGAAGCCAGTCACGAGAGACCACATATAGTATGATTGCATTTATATGTGAAATGTCCAGAATAGGCAAATCCATATAGGCAGAAAGCAGACTAGCGATTGGCTAGCCTGGATGAGGAGGGAATAGTTCCTGACTGCTAATGGGTAAGGGGTTTCTTTAGGGGGTGATGGAAATTTTCTAAAATTGATAGTGGTGATGGTTGTACAACCCTGAATATATGTACTGTATGGAAAATGAAATATAGATGGTCAGGATCCCTCTGGGGTTCGGAATCTTGCAGAGCGTTTGATGTAAATATGATAACTATGCACGTGCACGCAGGTTTTCCTTGGTTATTGTTTGATGTAGATATGCGTGAGCACCCAGGTGTCCCTGGGTTATCAGACAAGTATAAAGGATGAACGGCTCTGATCCACAGGGGTCCCCACCCCCAGGACATCCCCAGGAGCCCATGGGGAGGCCGCTACTGCTGCCAGAGGCTGTTGCTGCAAGCTATTGCTGCCAGGGTCCCCGGGATGCTCCAGGAGGCTGCCACTGCCTCCATCGCCTCCACCGCCTCCGCCGCCTCCGCTGCCTCTGCTGCTGCTGGAGGCCACTATAAGCTGCTGCTGCTGAGAAGCTGAGGACTGAGCTCGTGTCATCTGCCAATGGTCCTGGGATCTTTCCCAATTACCCAGCTCATGACCTGCACATGAGGGGTCTGGTGACCCAGCCTACAAGGGGTTTGAAGGGTCTCTGAGCCCTAGCCTGACATGTACTAAAAACCATTGAATTTTTACACTTTGGATGAATTGTATGGTATGTGAATTATATCTTAATGACGCTGTTACTTAAAAAAAAAAGCTAGATTCCCCAGGAAGTGCAAAGAACACTTGCATAGAGACTCAGGGGCTAGCCAGTTAGCTCAGCTGGTTAGAGCGCAGTCTTGTAACACTGAGGTCAAGGTCAATGTTTCGGTTCCCCATGCTGGCCATCTGCCTCGAAAGTCACTTCCTGCAACTTCTTTCTCAAATGACCAACCGCCCTTCAAATGAGGAAGCAAGCCACCAAGGAGTTTCACAAGTTTTGATTTTACTCAGCAATGAACAAGCTTTCTTCTGATGCAGCTCTTCTGCCTGCCATCAGCCTCAGCGGAGAGGGACTGCACCAGAGATGAATCTGACCCCACAATGCTGCAGGTTGCCAGGCTGGAGAGAGCGCCTACCACAGAAAAAACAGCCAAGAGCGTGACATTGCAGCTTTGTATGCTGATCTGCTTTAAGCCTCTCTAACCCAGGGAAGTGTGTGCAACCAGCTCCATTTTGCAGATAGGAAATTTGGGCTCACCAACTAGTGCGCTGTGGAGCTGGCATTTACACCAAGTCTATCTGACTCTCAAGGTTACGTTCACTTAGACA